TGTTTTAATTCATGATTCTCTTACACCTATATAGAAACATAGGATTGGTTTGTTTTTATTTTATTAGGAATTGTTTGTTTTTTAGAAAATGGAGAATATTGGACTATTTCAGAAAATTTTGGTTGTTCTGTTCACTAGTGCTTTCTTTTGGAAGCTTATAAAGTACATGTGGAGCTTCTTGAGTCAGACAATTCCACATTGCCCCATTTTTAGCCAAACCATCTTATGATTTTTTAATGGTTCTTTTTGTTCCTAATCATGTTCCCGTAATATCACTTTGTAGAGGAATAGTTACTTTTCTTCAATCTTATCGGATTGGAATGCAGCTCTTTTTTAGTTTCATTGAGTGTATTGCTATTATGGATGTTGTAGTTGTATCTGGTTCTGTATTGATGTTATGGATGTTGTTTGGTTATATTGATTATTGGTTGGTTGATTAAGTTCACCCCTTGAGGTGTTTTGATGTTTGGTTTTGCCACTCTTATTTAGTTTAACATTTTCTTTGCGCTTTATGTGTTCCACTTTTTCTGATTTTCTCTTGTTGGTGTTCTAGGTTAGGAAGCTCTTTGCCAATTAGTATGAGTTTCATAAGTTGGATATATACAAGCAATTTACAAGAAACAATATCAGATCATTCTACTTTTTTCTCATCCCATACTAATTAAAAATTAGATAAAGGAATGTGACTACAACATCCATAACATGTTAGGATAGTTGAATAACGGTCGAGATGCAAAATGGTTACTTATGTTAGCCCATTTGTGTTTATTAACCCAATTTGGTTAGGGTTACTGTGAAATCCTTTTCTACTGCTATTAACCATCCTTTTGAAGACCCACAAAAGCGCCTCTTCCCCAATTTTAATTGTGAACCTAATAACCTGTCATCCATGACATTGAATGGTCTCCATATACCATTTTTGCCTGTAGGAATTAAGAGCATTGGAGGAGAACGATCACAACTTGATATTTTAGCCAATTGTTCCTTGTAATTCTTTGCTCCACCATACCATGACTTGCAAACAAGACTTGCCCGCAAATAGTCAGTTGGAGAGATTAATCTCTGTAAAACTAAGTCCAAAAGATTGTGACACAGGCATGCTCAATCTAAAAACAAAAGGCATAACAAATAATAAAAAAATACAAAAAAGTAATTAGAGAGAGAACGATGAAGGAGGTGGTTTCCAATGAAAATTAAATTGAATAAATTAACATATATAAATTAAGGAGCTCGATACAACATGCAAGAATCATGTATGATTAATTAAAAAATATTAATAATATTTGATCTATTCAAACTTAGCAAACAAACGTATAATACCAACAAAAAAATATATATAACGCTTCGTTTAGCAAACATACCTGAATTCATGATTTTGTTTTCTTAGAAGAATATTTAGGGTTGTTGCGCCTTAATCACCAGTGACGAGTTTAATTCACTTAAAACAAGAATGAACGAAACTACACCCTCTTATTTATACATACAAACTGTTGGAAATTTTGGTTTAAGGATGCTACTTTCCTTGTAAAACATCACATAAAATATATATTAGAAAATTGTAATTTATATTGATATAGTATATTAAATAAAATTAATAGAAGTACTGTAAAATACTTATCTCTTGGGATGTAAAAGTTGGTCTCTATTGATACTTGAGTAGAATAATAGTTTTAGGTTGAGGTGTGTAGTCACTGTCCTTAAGAGTAGATTTCGCCTCTCGGAGACAATGTCTCGGTGTAGCAAGGTTGTATGGCGCCCTATTCTCCAGGATACAACAACCTATGACCCTCATAAGCGTACACTCACAATACTTGGGTCGGATGAACAACTTGAATCTTTCCCTTGATAAAGGAAAACAATTGGAACACAAACTCAAGAATGAGGAGGAGAAAATAATGAAGAAAGGTGCCAATTTTATTTCTTCTTTTTCTTCTAATGTATAGCTCGAATGGTTTATTATATAGGAGACTACCAACTGCAAGTGAACGTTGGGTTTTTAACCAAGCAATTAAACCACATAAAACACTTGCATGTTAAGAACAAAATTTGATACCAACAAAGCAATTAACTGACGCAATAAAGATTGGAATCAAAACCTTCAACAACTTTTGTAAACCAAAGACATTTAACTTATTTAAATGATAAAATAAATTGAGATACAAAAAGTAACGGTAATAAACCAATTAAAACCACAAAGGAGTTATCAAAACTGACAACAAATTAATGTCCAATTTATTCAAAACCAATACGAAAGAAGTTTATAATTTTCATAAAATAGAATTAAATCAAACATTTAAAATTTCACTTTCAACATAAATTAGATAAATTAATTTTGTATTTTGAAATACTCACTTTGTGTTTCTTGCCCCCCTTTGAGTGAATACTCACTTCAATTTCATGTCCTGACAGTCCTATGCTCACTCACTAGAGGCCAAACCACATTTTTATTTGACACAGGTGCACCCATTACATCCGTTTATCAATTTGGAAATAGATTAACGCTCGTTGGGCGTTTCAATTTAAATTATATTCAAATTGAGTAATTATGAAACTCACCCTTCTACATGGACTAGCACAACAGAATATAGGTTTATCTTGTTGAATTGAAATCTTGTACGGTATGCTTGATGAAACGACATGGTGGGAGTAGTTTATAAGCACTAGCAAAGCAATAAAGATTAGTGGAACACTAAAACGATGCTTTTGTGAATTTTTAGAGGCTTTTCAAATCAATCTTTTCCAATTCATGTGTTCATCAATCAATCAACCTTCCCTTTCTTATCTCTAAACAATCTCAACACTCTTCGAGGAGAGGAGGAGAGACATAATGAAACTGCCTAATCAACCACCCATAATGTGAAACTAAGTAATTAAATTAAGCTAATTAGATATATAATTGTCAACTCTTTGACAAATAAAAAGGTGCCCACCATGCCTACCTAGCCAATCAATCAATCTAATAATCTTCAAATCAGGCTTTTGGCCTAACAATTCCATAAACAAATTACTTTTTCTTTTTTTCTTTTACCTCAACACAAAAAATAGTCAATTTTCCCGCATTTTTCTGCGTTGAATTGATTCACCTTCCTAAAGGTTTACACTTATTTACAGTTTCATTAACCAACTTGACTTTTTGAACACGTGTAAGCACACTGCCTTTTCTTTTAAATAAAATAAATAAATAAATGTTAATCTTTTGTGACATAATTTAAATTTTACATGTTCTGGTCTTCATACATTTGGCCATCTCTCTAGACATAGATAAAGAGACACGACAGGAGAATGATGAAAAGTCAGATGCGCATTTGAAGAGAGTAAACAATGGGTTAAAATGGAAATCTGGCATTATTTTGTTTATTGGTTTGGTCATTTACATAATAAACGTGGATTAAGTCAATTAACTAGAAACACGAGCGCATTTTTTCATACCCAAATTTAAGTCTCTCACTTCATAAACTAGACTATTGTAAAACTACTCTAACACTATTATAAACAAGGTTTAAATTGAGAAAAAGGATTGACAAGTTCCTTCCCTCCTACTCTAATAACACCATTAAAGAAGCAACCAAGACCTATAATTAGGAGATGACAGAGATTGAAAGAATAATTGCAATAAATTTGGCTACACGTACACGGCTGCTTCTTCTTCCTAAAATTTTTTCGGGATAATTTCTAATTTCTTTTTATTTTTTAATTTTTACAAGTGCCCCTGGTGGCAAAAAAATCCCAGAGGATTGTGGCAAAACTCAAGGGACAACACCTACATGGGCTACAAGGTGGCTCAGTCAACTCCCTCCACCAATGTGCCACCAAAATCATCTACATCTCAAATGACACCAAAAAACACAAAAACAAAAACAAGTACTCTCTGTGTTTTGTTTTAAATTAATTAATTAATTGCTATTGGCCAACAAATGTTATCCACTACTATATCCATATATTTATTTATTTATTATTACAATGACAGTTGTAAAATTCACCTTTCACCTATGAGAGCCGAGAACGAGTCCAAACCCAACCGGCAAGCAGAGCTCACTGTTCCAGGCCAATTGACCCAACACCCGGGGCCCACCCACCCTTACACGTCACCACGTAAGACGCAAAAATGGGCCCCACAACCTTTAACCGTATCTAGTCTAATCAGGGTCAAATTCGTCACTAAGAAAGGTTCTAATTTAGACCAAAGAGCAGCAGAAGAAGGAGAGGGGCGGACTAGTACATGTAGAAGTAGTGCGTCTCCATTCTCTCACCGACGGATGTGGCGCGCTGGGCCCCACGAGGTAACGACAAAGGCGCGAAATATAGAAATTTTTCTCTCTTTACCCCCCTAATTGACCGTTGATCACGGACGAATAGCAAGCGCCCACTCCTGACCGTCGGATCGAGCGACGAGGGTAAACCAACGGCCTCACCCGTCGGTGTACCCATTGGTAAACAGTGTAAAAGACAAAAAGGTAATAACCATTAACCCGGGTTAAACTCGGTTAAAACGAAAAAACGACGTCGTTTAGTTAATGTCAGATAAAAAGGGCGAGAGAGCGAGTGGTATTTTTTAATTAAAATAAAATAAAAGGGTATATAAGAAACAGACATGCTCTGCAGAGAGTCTGTGTGTTTGCCTGTACCTCCTCTTCTTCTTCCTCTGCGTTCTTCATTGCCCTTCTCTCTTTCTTTCTTTCTCGGGTTTTGGTGTGCGTTTGTTTTGGTTGGTTGGTTGGTTTTGTTGGTTGAGCTTTTCATGCTACTCCTCTCTGTGCGTTTAGCTGGCTTTGGTGGCGTGCTCTGTCATAAGAAAACAGACTAACCTCCAAAACGACTCCGTTTCTCTCTTTCCCTCTTTTTCTTTCTCGGAGACTAAAATGAGAGTTGAAATTCCTTTTGTCTAACCTATATATAAGCATTTTTGTGTTTTCATGGATATTATCGAAACCAAGTGAGGACTGCGTCTCTGTGTGTGTGTTGGTGTTTGGTGGCCGAAATTTTGTATTTGGGGGGAAAAGATGACTTCGACTCGGTCCGAAATGCAAGAGCCGAGCATCGACACCGATAAGCTCAGCTACGAGATATTCTCCATATTGGAGAGCAAGTTCCTCTTCGGCTACGACGATCAGAAACTCTGGGTCCCCAAGCAGGTCTCTCCGTCCCCGCCCCCCTCCGACCCCAAACTCGAAACCCAGCCCCAATCCGAAACCCCCGTTTCGGCAATCAAGAACCAGAGGGGCAAAATCTGCATACTCAGCATCGACGGCGGCGGAGGCATGCGGGGGATTCTCTCTGGCAAGGCCCTCGCGTATCTCGAGCACGCGCTCAAGCTCAAATCGGGCAATCCCGACGCCAGAATCGCCGATTACTTCGACGTTGCCGCCGGCGCCGGAGTCGGAGGCATCTTTGCCGCCATGCTCTTCGCCAGCAGAGACCAGGCCCGGCCTATGTTCAAGGCCGACGACACGTGGCGCTTCCTCGCTGATCACGGCAAGAGCTTCTTCAACAACCGCTCCTCCTCCGCTGGTTCCGGCGGGTTCCTCCGCCGGTTCATCCTAGGTTCTGGTTCGGGTTCCGGTTTGAGCGCCACGGCCGGTTTGGAAAAAGCGATGAAAGAGGCCTTCGCCGATAACGATCGAACCCTGACTCTAAAAGACACGCTCAAGCCGGTTTTAATCCCCTGCTACGACCTCTCCAGTACGGCGCCGTTTTTGTTCTCCCGGGCCGACGCGCTCGAAACCGACAGCTACGACTTCCGCCTCTGGGAGGTCTGCCGCGCCACGTCAGCCGAGCCGGGAGTCTTCGAACCGGTTCAAATGCGGTCGGTCAACAACCAGACCCGGTGCCTCGCCGTGGACGGCGGATTGGCCATGAGCAACCCGGCGGCTTCGGCGATCACGCACGTGCTGCACAACAAGCAGGAGTTTCCGTTCGTGCGAGGGGTCGAGGACATAATGGTCCTTTCCATAGGGACCGGCCAGTTTCTGGAAGAAGCGAGGTACGAGTACGAGCAGGTGAAGAGGTGGAGGGCAAAGGAATGGGCTCGGCCCATGGCCAAAATTGCCGGCGACGGGTCAGCGGACCTGGTGGACCAGTCCGTTGCCATGGCGTTTGGTCAGTGCGGAAGCAGTAACTACGTGCGCATTCAGGTACGTGTACGCTAGTTCGTTTCTAACGTGCGCACCGTGCGCAATTAATTAAATTTGTGTGTTTTTTTATTGGCATGGAGTTAATTTTTGGGTTTGGTTGTTTTTTGCCGTTTCTGGGGCAAGTCCAACTGTGCAACGAGACATTGTTATTAGTTAGCCAGGCTGGTACTGTTCAGAAATACGATGTAAAATGTGTACATACATACATACATACAGACTGCACACGTATTGTCAGTACTAACTTGCGCTGGGGGTGTAGGTTTCGCTTTCATGCAATTAAATGCGGGTGTTTTGTAACGTAAAAACATTTGGCCTGGAGTGGAGTGGAGTGGGGAGCATTGCAAGTTTTTTTTATAGCTTGCTCTATGCTGCAAAGTGCACAGACCAAGTGAAGCAAAATGGGGGACCTTTGGTTTTTGTTTCCCTGGTTGAATTGATTGCACGTGATTATGCTTTGGGTTTGGCTGTGAACCTGTGCGCCTGTGCGCCTGTGAGCTCTGATTTTTTTTTTCTCAATTAATTTTGGGACCGAGAGAAGGAATGGAGATTTTGGTTGGTCTGGCGTAGGTTAGCTGATTAGGACTTTCTGTCTTTTACACAAACTAGGCCTAAAGCCTAGAGTTGACCGGTTGTCTCAGTAAATTGGTTTGGGTTCTTGGCTTTAAAGTTTTGGTCCCACTGCATTGCATTCTATTGATTTCACTGATAAATTAAAGACTTTCTCATCTTTATTTCTTTGCTGGATTTCAATTTGGTACCTTTGAAGTTTGCTTCTTGGGGCAGGCTCTAAAATGATGTTTCTTTATTCACTCTTTTCTTTGTTCTTAGTTATTAGCCTTTGGTTTGCCCCCTGGTGTGGAAACTTGGAAACCATGACCTGTATTTTTTTTATTTAAAAAAGAGGGTAATGCCCATTATTGTCTTACCAATCTTCTTTTCAAAGGAAGTAGCTATTGATTGTGGATTCCTGACCCTGTAATATTGCAGCAAGTAGTAATTAGATGGAAATGGTTGGATAGCTGGGGTATGGAGTTGCTAGGGGTGGTCACAAATTGCTTGATCTTAATAAATAAGTATCTTATAATTTAGAGGTCTAGCCCTTATTACTAGGACAATTTTTATGTACTGTCAAAGTACCAGAACTTACTGCTCTGATTTTCCTGTTCCAGTACATATCTCTGTCTGAGGCTCTTAAAATCTTAATATCTGTAGAAAGAATGTGGGGTTATTACCTTTAATCTGACTGTGGTTGTTTCTCTCCATTTTAGCAAAATGAATACTATTCTAATCTATTTTCTTACTCCTGGGTAAAAGGTTACTATCATTGACCCACAATTTTTTGTCATTTTCTGTTTTCCTACTGTTTATTTTATCTCTGAGGTGGTCCTAAATTAGAGCTGTCACCCAAATCCCAATGGTTTGAGCTGTTAGGTAAAAAACAATTTATTTATTAGAAATATATCCTATAAATTTTGGATCTTTCCCAATTTGTGGGTTGCTTGGTTTGAGTATGACCTGTGACTAATATGCATGGCTGTTTATAAATCCTAAGTGGGTTCGCTTGTTAGGTTCTTAATCAATATGCTAATGGAAATTAGTTTTTGAACATAGCTAATAATTGGAGGGTGTTTATCAGGCAAATGGGACAAGCTTGGGACGGTGCGGGCCAAATGTAGATACAGACCCAAGTCCCAACAACGTGAAGATGCTGGTAGGAGCGGCAGAGGAAATGCTGAAACAGAAGAATGTTGAATCAGTACTCTTCGGTGGTAAGAGAATTGGTGAGCAGAGCAATTTCGAGAAGCTCGATTGGTTTGCCGGAGAACTGGTTTTGGAGCATCAGAGGAGGAGTTGCAGAATAGCTCCCACTGTTGCCTTCAAGCAAGCTGCTGCCAAAACCACTTAGCCTACTACCTGCAACAAAACCAAAAGGTATGTGCTTTCTGTTATGTTTAAACCTCACTCATCTTCTATACTATGTTCATACCTCAGAAATTTGGAGAAAAAGAAAACAACTTTTCTTGTCAAAACAATGTTCCCCCTTTAATCATTAAACTACAGTGAAATTCTGTCCATTGAAATTAAGAACATACCATGTCCACTGTTTTTTCGATTCGTACAACATTGGTCAAGTGGCACTCATGTATTACATTTGAGTTTGACGCATTCTGACTAAACATGTCTGTGCATCCCTGTAGTTTTCATTGATATTTGTACTTTTTTTTAATTAATCCTCAAATTTAGGTTAGATCTCCTGTCAGTGCTATGATTAGTTGTCAGAAGTTTATTAAAATTCAAATGGAGAAAGTGTTAGGCACAAATGTTATGTTATGTTATCATGCTAGCATGGTATATCAAATTAATAAAGATATGTTGTTGGAATTTGTTGAAACTTACATAGCATGAGTTACTTAATCATATGGGGGGTTCCACTAATAATGGTTACATGTCATCTTATTGTTTGATTTTATTAATTACAACATGTTATCATGATGGCATGCATACAACTACTGTTTCTAAGACTTTCTCCTTCAAATATGGTGGCATTGATTAATTAGGTGTCATGACACGTAGTCAGGAGCAGGCATTGAAATTTCTTAATCTCTGTTTCTCCGTGGGCTGGTCTTGTCATTTTCTTCCTCCTTTATAACAACCAGTTTGTTGTTGTTTAACAAACAAAAAAAAATTACACTTAAAAAAAGAAGAAGGTAAAACTAGATGATTGCTTATAGTCCCATCTGTTGTCGGCCTACCGACACTTAGTTTGGAATATATTTAAGGACATTTTGGATATTTTTAGCGAACAAAAATGAGAAAAAGGCATGGAGGGGTGTTATGGTCATTTAGAAGAGAATCAAATCCTTGTGGTCCTAAAGGCAATTCCGTAGTCCGGAAAAAAGGTTCTCCTTGTGAGAGCATGCATGTTTCTTTTGAATGTTAGGGGCAAAATTTTATTGCTTTGCTTCTATGGCATTGGCCTACAGAATCACACATGCCTATTTGAGCGAAGACCACATCCACACTATCTAGCTATTAGCTCATTTGGCACTGAAACATTCATCTTCTTTAAATTACTTAGATGCCTTGCTTGAAATAAGCAGCATATTCCTTCAAATAATCAAGTCTCTGATTTATGTCTCTCATGAACCATTATCTGTACACGTAGTGCCTTGCGGTCCATGATTTTTTAAATGCTCTAGGAGAACTGTCTTTTCTTGAAACACAGGGGAAATGTTGTTTGGTGTACACAAATCACTGGGGCCATGCTGAGGCCTTGTTTAATCATCCTTAAAGACCTATATGTTAGGTAAAAGCCTAGTGAATAGAATTGTAGGTACATACAAGGAGTCTTATACAAAAAAAGAATTTAAAAAAAAATAAAATAAAATTGTGTTGGATGGTTTTCCTGTCCACAAGAAGCTGGATGCATCATCCATTATAATAGATTGGGGAAAATAATGTTTAGAGCTTGTGACCAGATAGAGACTGGCACTTAACACTTCCTTCCCAACTAACTTTTTAACAGACAAGGGGTAAACCTGGAAAAGCCAAAGGGGTCAAATTTCTAAAGTTTTACATTGTTGCTTTAAGCAATTCTCTTTTTGTTCAAACTATTTTCTCTCATTATAGTTCTAATCTTACTGTGACTTCAAAATTTCAAAATCATACATGTAGATTACAAGTTCTTTCATTTATCTTCTGCAACTCAAATGTACATTTTTACTTGTAGCTTGAAATATATAACAGCAAATTATTTTCCCCAAATTTTGCAGGTAGACATCAAAGACAGACAGAAAGGAAGGGAAAACAAAAAAAAAAAAAAAAAAAAAAAAAAAAAGAGAGAGAAAGAGAAGTAATGTAGCAAACAGCTTTACTTTTGTAAGTGGAGATAGTAAGAGAAGAGGAGGGATTGTGGGGGTCATTGGATTGAGTGAAAAGGACTAGTAGTTTGTGAAAAGGGTTGAAGATATAATAGGATTCTTTGCCTGCCAGAGGACATGCATTGTGGTCTCCACTCTAACCTTTCTACAATGGCAAGGAACCAAGGGTGGTAGAAAAAAGCAAAAGCGAGATCAAAAAGCTTTTGAGGTCAAACAAACAAGAATCAGATATTCAGGTGTGAATCCATTGATTTCAGATTGAGTACTCAGGGGGTGGGAAGAGAACTGTTTCCATATTTCTTCCCCTACCCTTTTTCAGTTTTATATGTTTCAATTTTCCCCCAAATGGGTTGTCCAATATCCGTCTTTTCATCCTCACTCTCAAGAAACTTGAGAAGGTGGGTGGGTGGGTAGGTGGTGGTGGGCTAGCTAAAGCTTATGATGAAAACCCAGAATTAAAAAAATAGCCAAAGCTATTTGTTTGTCTTTGGCTTTTAGCTTTTAGCTTTTTACCTCTTCAATATATTTTCTTTTGAATATAGAATGTTTGTAGTGGTGGCAGAAAAGTTTTTCAGAGTGTGGGTTATCTTTTTCAAGCAACTGACCATTTCTCTCCAGAGTGGGGGCCTTCATATTAGGGGCCAGTTCTTGGAGCCTTTCTAGAGGTAGAAGAAAAAGTAGTCTTTTTTTTTCTTCATGTTGAAGTGTATAATATAGGATTTTGGGTCCTCTATTTGAAGTTCCATGATTTGTTTAAAGAGAGAAAAAATTCCAACTTCTTTTTGTACATGCTTGTAATTTGAGAGATTGGTGGTGGGTGTTCTCTTCTCTCTCATGGCTGCGGTTTCACTTTTTCTCGAGTGTAGCTTTCATGCGTTTCGCTTTTTCTTTGCCTGTTATTGACTATTGAAACTTTTCCTACAAATGTGTCTGCTGCGCATGACTTGTATCTTCATGTAGAAGGGTCAGCGCGGCTGCTGCACACCAAATCAATGAGAAGTCACTGTTTTTTCATAAAAAGAATGATTCTATTAAGACACCCAAATATTCATCACCATGCCCAGTCCACATCAGAATGCTCCTCATTCAAAATCCATGGATGAGTCATCATTTCAAAATCCTAAAATATATGATTGTGGAGCAGATAGTTAGAGCGGACGTGTTCTTCATGAATCGCGAAAAATATATATATGTTTTTTCAGTTCATTTTGCACTCAAGTATGAATCTCCCTTCCGTAGTTTAGATTAAAATAGAATATCACTTGTATAAGAACATATATATATATATATATATATATATGCATATGTGTGTGTGTGTGATTGTGGATAAAAATGTATAAACAGTCATTCTTCAAATAGACTTTTGGCTTTTAAATAGTTTTCCAAACTATAGAGGAGGAGCCAGCTGTTTAATCAAACGGCCAAAAAGCAAACAATGACAAAATAAATAAATAAAATGCTTGCCACTTTATCATGAGTCATGACCAAGTAAGCCAAAATGTGTAAGGGGTTTCCTCAATTGGAAAAAGTTTACATGTTTTATTATATATGCATGCCATGGGGACAATTGTTAATGCTTGCTCATTCCATGCCTTGTCTAAATCCTTTTCAGAACCAACAAAATGATGTCCAATGGCATGCCAAGAAAATTAATACTTGCCCACGATTAATTATCTGGGGGTAAATAATTTCTTGTTGGTAGCTTCTACTGCCCTCTTTTACCACTGCCTTTTCAGTGTGGTGGGTATCTTATTACTGTGGTCATAATGGGTTTTCACAAGTGCAGAGGATTTATGTTGAAGCAAGCAAAGCATCCAATCCAATTTGCCCAAATTCAAGCACAATTAGTACTGCAAATTGAAGCAAAAAGGTTAATTAGAGCAAGATTACTCCGCATAAGCAGGCTTTTACTTTTGTGAAGATTTACCTAATCATGGTTCATGACCCACCAAATTAAGTTTCACCTCCTAAACCTAAACCAACAAAATTAGTTGGTTTCTTTATGCATGTGGTTGGTTAGTTGGTAGTGGCTGCCTCCTCCCCTTTTGCGTTTTGGGTGGGTAATATATTCATCAAAGTGCATTTTCCCTAACCTACTACTGCCCTAGGCCTATGGTAAAACATCCTTTCCGGCCTAAACTCTCTTTTCATCCCACTTTTCCTTTTCCACAACCTTTTTTGACCCTCCATTTCCGGCATATTCATCAAATCAAATCAAAGTGAAACTAAAATAACAATTAATAAAAAATAATAAAATTTAAAAGGGTTGATGAATATAACATTTGGTGCAATGTCTTTTTTTTTCCAAGCAAAATACAAAGTACACTAGATGTTTCCTTTTTGTCACCTTCTTCTCAGCTCTTTCTTCCCTCTTGTATTGTTTTCTTTTCTTCTTTTCTTCTTTTATTCTTTTCTATTTGGGATTGGTTGGTAACCCATCTATGATGTGCTCTTTCTCCTTTTGCCAAATATTGTAATTTATGCTTGGTGTTCTATACATGCATGATGATGATGCATTGCTCTCTCTCTCTCTCTCTCTCTCTCTCTCTCTCTCTCATGCATGCATGCATAATATAATCCTGAAAGCCCAAGATTAGTGGACTAGGAAGACAATATAATACTAACTAATAATGGAATTGCTTATAATTGAGCTTTCTAATTGGCATCAATTATTAGAGCCTGATCTCATTCCCTATCCACATACTATTTGTTAGCTTAGAGACATATCATATTTTAATGACAACAAGCTGATGTAATCCAGGCTCCTGCTTTTTTATCATCATCCTTATGCCCTTTTGCTTACCTAACAATCATAAACCCTATGTGTCTTTAGTGATTTGATTAGTTGAAAAAGATATATGTTAACTGAAAGATGAGAACGACCATAACTTGACCTAGAACAATTAAACAAAAGATCGGGCTCATAATCTCACCACAACAACAAATTAATTACATTATATAAACATGAGAAACATGTGGTTGTGGTCGTACCTAGAAGATAGATACGTTGTATCTTCCTCTTAATTAGGTATACATCGTAGTTGCTAATTAATGGTATATAGTTTTCGGTTCAATGGTGTTCCTCTTCTCAACGTTGAGAAATGACCAACGTTCAAATCCCCCTCATTCAATAATCACAAAAGAAAAAAAGTCATAAAATATTCTAAGTTTGTGTTGTGTTGTCTTGTCGGTCGATGATCAATACATGTGACCAAAAAAATAATCAAGGAGCTATCTAGAATTAGAACCATATATCCAACTTATATATATATATATTGATGTATTTGGCGTATACGTCAGTATCGCTAAAAATTTATGTTAAACAATTATATACAATCATTATTTAGTTGATGAAACAAACACGTCAATTCAATAATAATTAAGGCACTAGTATCTCAAATTTATTTTGAAAAAGAAGCTTGGAATAGACTCTGACCTTACGTGTATTGGAGAGAAGCCCTAATTAAATGAAAGATAAGACACTACCACATGTAGAGATGCATGCATTTTCACCGTATCAAGTATACAAAGTTCTAAAAGACGGAATTAAACACAGAACTTCGGTTGCAGGACTACTCTTTAGATAAAACGTGGTAGCTATAATTTTTTTTTTCAAAGAATATTTGTTCTTTAAAGACGCAAGTCTAGTCTCACATTCAATTGAAACCAAAATGCACTCTCAAAACTGAAAAGAGTAGATTCTCTTAAACCTCTTTCACGTAACTTACATGATATCTAATTTAGCTTTACATATGCTTGAACAGTCAGATTCAGAGAGCATATGCGTATGGTTGAAAACTCGAAGGGGATCTTACCACTTAGGCAGAAAATGACTCCACCACAAGAGCTAAAGCAGCTCAATCTCTTTTACCAAAATCAGAAATTTGACACCACCTACAGAAAATAATAGCATCTGTCGGTAGTCATATAAAAAACAAATTCATACAAATAACAAGGAAGTTACTTTTTCTGAAAAGGAAAATAAAAGGAATAAAGGCTATATATATATATGTTATATAAGCAATATATTTTCATTTTTTCCCTACCATAGGTCAAATTTTACCTGTTTCCAAATCCTTGCTAAAGGTAAATAATATTCTTTATTGTCGGGTTCTTTTGGCCTTCCTTTTCGGTGTTTTTTTTTCCTTCTTAAGAAAAAAAAAATGATCTACTACTTTTTTTTCTTTTCAAATGTGAAATATAGCTTGCCTAGATGCCATTGTTTAGTCACCTATCTAGCACAATTAAAGTTTAGCTTGTTTTCTTCAAGCATGGATGACCAAGCTTTTTAGAGGAATCTGCTTTAAGCTATAAGCTTATAGTTTTTGAACATCTCATCCCCCTTTTCATCTAATTAATAATTTCGTTTGGAGAAAGATTCACATTATGGATTAGGATGTGAAGGTGACGACAACTAGTAGAAAACAAATTGTCGATGGTGCTGATGATCTTAAAATAATGGTTTGTGATCACCCATGCTGCTTTCTTTATTCTCATCTTTATGATTTAATCCATATATCTATATAGACAATGTGCATATTATACTTGCTGCTTTATGCATTCCTTTTCGTAACACCCAGCCATGTCTGCAAAGTCTTATTTTAAAGACGAAAACATCTTATTATAAACAAGAATGGTTTTGTAGATCAAATTAGGTGGTTAACCAGTCTATTGGGATGCTAAGAGAAATTGACAACAACAATAATCATTTGGGATTTTCCTATTATTATACAATGGTTGCAGACATGTAGTTAGCATGGGGTTAAGAAAAGTTTGAAAAAAATAATGAAGTTATAATAATTGAGCACACGTGAGTTAGGCCAGTTGGCCAAAGTGGTGAGCTCGCCCCTTGCACCCAAATTCGAGTGCCCCGACAAAAAGCTACTCCCATTAAGTATATATAATACTATATTTGATGTCATGGTGTTCCTTCATTTCACTTTCGAAATCGGTTGTGAGTAATTTTCAGTTAACGGGTTTTTCACCACTTGATGGGATTTGAGCGGGCATATGTAACTATCGGCAAAAATGCTAGCACAAGTGTGATACTTTTCCAAATGAAAATGAAAGATAACAGAATTTGTATATAACTAAAGGGTGAACCAAGTAAACAGCAGGAAAAAGTAGGAGGTGAAGATGGTATTATTAAAGTAATATAAGAATATCAGCTCTGGTATATGATATATATATTCAATCCAGAGAATGAATATGCGGGTTAAAAACAAATCCACTGTCTTGTGAATCTTGGAAGTTTTGGAGCCGCACTTTCATTTGGAATGAATGAGCTTTGATTCAATTTCAAAAAAATCTTAGAAATTCTCAAACGAAACAAAGCAACCAATTATTCACAACCATATATAAAATAAATATTTGAAACATTTATTGGCTTAAAATTATTGATACAAATTGAATAGTTGAAGTTAGCTCATCTTGGGCCAAAAAGAAAGTGGTTGACAACATATATTCTAGTGTCTCACTGCAATGGTAAACCAGTGTCAACAAATCCTCTAAATAGTCACAACTCAAACAGGAAAAGAAAAGAATGCCCTCTTGGACTCCCACTGAGCGCGTTTTATGATAATGAATTACACTGAATGATACAGAAAGTTGGTCAACTTTCAACTGTGCAGAGCAGCTTCCTCAGCTGCTTCAACTTCGGTTACGCGCAGGGGTTCTTGTAGCTCGGTATTGATAGGAAACATATGACACTGTGCATAATGTGCCATTAGTTGGTCCACAAGCGCAAGGGCTATCGTAGCTTCCACCATCGGCACCGCTGCACCATTCCACCAAACAAAACTTGTAAGACCATTCAAGACCAAAATCACATTAATCAAGGACTTGTCTCGTTTTTTATTAACCAATTATAATCTAATGGCAGAAAAGAAAAAACAGGTTCCAAAATCACTATGATGCAGGCAGTTAAAATTAAGGATTGCTTTATGACAGTATACATATCATTCAGACATACCTCGAGGAACAACACAAGGATCATGGCGACCACGGGCTATAAGTTCTATCTCATGTTTATCTCTAGTCACTGTATTCTGCTTCTTCTGCACAAATATCCCAAAACCATGACAGTTTTGTCAGTTAATTACAATTTTTTTTAGCATCCAAGTCAAGCACAAGTTGTTAACTAGCTTTGCACCTAAAGTTGTATTCTTTCAAAATTACTGAGCATATACACAATTGGAATGAAACCGAGCTATAATATAGATGATGAACAAGTGGCCAGGGGAATCAATAGTCCACTAAACTTAGTACTCCTAATGGCCCAAAACATGATTTATCACACATTAGTAACAGAAAATGACTCATGAAGTGAGCAGTGCCAGCTGAAAATAGTGGACTAGTATTCCAGTGTCATAGTTAGAGAGAGAGAGAGAGAGAGAGGTGGGTTGATGTTAGATTTACTGAAATGTTAGCTGTTGGCTTGAAAGCTATTCTCCCTACCATAGGTCAAATTTTACCTGTTTCCAAATCCTTGCTAAAGGTAAATAATATTCTTTATTGTCGGGGCCTTCCTTTTTGGGGGTTTTTTTTTCCTTCTTAAGAAAAAAAATTGAGTTACTTCTTTTTTTCAAATGTGAAAAAGCTGCCTAGATGCAATTGTTTAGTCACCTATCTAGCACAATTTTTGGTTGCCATGGCAAATTAAAGTTTAGTTTGTTTTCTCCAACCATTGATGACCAAGCTTTTTAGAGGAATCTGCTTTAAGCTTATAGCTTCTGAACATCTATATAAGATGATATACTAAATATGCAAAAGAAAAAACCACATTAAACTTGTATTCAAAGTCCTATAAGCCCAGGATTGCAAGTAAAAACAGCAGAGCTAATTTTATCATCTAATTCAAGCACATGTTGTTAACTAGCTTTGTACCTAAAGTTGTATACTTTATAAATTACTGAGCATATACACAATAGGAATAAAACGAGACAAGTCCTTGATAATGGACATGTGGCCAGGGGAATCAATAGTCCTTTAAAATTAGTACTCTAATGGCCCAAAACATGATTTATCACACATTAGTAACAGAAAATGACTCACAAAGTGAGCAGTGCCAGCTGAAAATAGTAGACTGGTATTCCAGTGTCATAGTTATGAGAGAGGGGTGATTGAGAGAGACAGAGAGAGGTGGGTCGATGTTAGACTTACTGAAATAGTAGCTGTTGGCTTGAAAGCTATTCTCATGTTTATGATTTCCCCATTGGATATTCCTCCCTGATTGCCAGCAAATACAATCTCAGTGTACCAGACATGCTCAAGAAAAATATTTACCAACTTACTCTACATTTAGAAGTAACAAATTGAAATCTAGAACAAATACCTGTGTCCCACCAGAGCGATTTGTTTTTGTCCTGATTTTTCCTTGTTCATCCAAATAGAATTCATCGTTGTGTTCACTCCCGGTTAAAAAGGTACCTGCCAGTTATTTGTGAACAGTAAGATCTTACTGAAAATATAGTGGGAGGAAAAAGAAAAACCATGACAACAAGATTTCTAGAAATCATTCTCTAGTCACCAATTCCAAGTTAAGAACTTTACAGGCAACCGCCCAAAAGTATCATAAGTTTGTGAATCTTAACCTGCAAATCCACTTCCAAATTCAAAACCCTTTGTTGCAGGTAATGACAAAACAGCTTTAGCAAATTCAGCTTCAAGTTTGTCAAAGACTGGTGAACCAAGCCCCTGAGATACAACTGCATTGTCAATACTCCATAACAGACAGAGAGAGAGAGAGAGAGAGAGAGAGAGAGAGAGAGATTTTACCGGTGGGCAGTTCCTAACGATGCACGTGACAACACCACCAATGGATTCCCCTTTCACCCTAACAGCATCAATGGCAGATATCATCTTCTCTGCATATTCAGCGTCTGGGCACCTAACAATGTACTCTCTACCTGACAATATTTAAATAAAATAATAGTACAGTTAATGAGCATGTAGAATGGCTAAAAACGGAGCATCATAAGGGCACCACTGATTAAGTCAATTTTTTATGAATAATAAAAGTTAAATTCTGTGTCAAAAAGTACTTCAATAATCCATATGATTGAGAACATGGAATGTGTAAAATCGAAAAAGAGTAAGCTACATGGTAATACTTGTGTTCCTTACTTTGAAATTTCTAAAACCAATTTACATCTAAGATTCTCCAAGAACTTGAAACCTCAAGTAACAACTCCATTGAATTATTGGGTTTTCATACTGTTCCATCAGGTACTAAGGGGAACATAGAGCTTTGTATGGCCAGCTACAGGTCAGAAACCAATTAAGAAAAACTATTTATGAAGAGGGTAATTTTCGTTTCACATTTGGGTGTGGGTACTATTGTAGCCAATAATAACTCATGAAATGTTACTGGATGTGACAACCACAGATAAATCATATAATTGGAGAGTAAGAACAGTATCATTGTCTTAGAGATTATGCTACAAAATTAGGTACTCAAGAGTCCTAAATCATTCAGATATCTAGTCTGCATATTGAATGTTGTTCCTTGTAGCTGACATGCATTGTGCAGAGCTTATTATACAAAAATTTAAATTAATATCCATAATCCCACCTGATCAAGTGCCAGTGTATAATGATTAACGGACTCCTCTGGAAGCACAACCTTGTGAACTTGTGAAACATAAGCAAGAACCTGTAGATGTTACAAACATAAGGGAAAAGGTTTAGAAATTATGAAAAGAAAAAGAAAAAGAAATAAGTGCAGATAATACTACATGTACAGACTGTATCTTATAAGATTATGAACGGCAAGATTGGCCAGAGAAGTTCTGAAACTTTTTCAATTAACATAAAGGACAACAGATATTAATAGCTCCAAATTCCAATTACTTATTCACTATGATTTGAGGACACAGACATGAATGTCATGTACTGTCACAGACAGTGTGTGTCCGGCAAGTCCACTTCCAAAAATCTAGAAATGTGGACATGCCAATACATGTTTATTTTTATTTATTTATTTAGAAATATCATCTATTCTTGATATTATTGAGCATATCTTTACTTGTAAAAGAAGCATATTGCCACAGAAAGTTATGAAAATAATAATCGCGATTCATTTTCTAGAAAATAAAAATTCCTAAGATCTTGATTTATAGGCAAATGAATATATATATTTTCCTAGGCGTCCAAAGACATGTTCAACATGGGTGGATACTAGTCTTGTGTCCTTAGATGTCAAAGAGAGCAAAATTTTATGAAAGAAGCATCCTCAAATCATAAGTTTCTCAGTAGCAAGTAATAGTAAGATAAGACTACCTCTCAATTTTGAATTTAACAGTCAAATTAAAACTTCTCTTAGCTTGATACATTCACAATTCTTCAAGGTAAATCAACTTCAATAAATAAGCAGCAACACAATGATTAAACAAACTAGAGTCTCAGGCATTATCATGTAACTATTCACAGATACACAGGTAGTGAAATATACAGATATAAAATCAAGAACCCAACAAGGGGGAAAGTTATGTGCATTAGCAAATGTGTCTGCATCATGTTAAAGAAACAAAATCCCGGGGAGAAAGTTTCTCCACCTCGCACCAAAACACTCACACACACACCTACAAACAGAAGTACGCACACACCTCAGTTCCTGAAAAGGCCTTAAGGATTTTCTTGGCAACTGCTCCTGCAGCAACTCTTCCTATTGTTTCTCTAGCTGAAGATCTACCACCACCCTTCATTAACAAACTAGGTTAAGATCTACATATCTGCAATTCCAAACAAGTAATCATGAACCTTTAATATTAAGCTTAAAGATGGTACCTGCACTGATCTGACACCATACTTCAGGTCATAAGTTCGATCTGCATGTGAAGGCCTATAAGCTATTGACATTTCGTCATAATCCTAAAAACCACCAACAGAATTATTGGAAACTTTCTATGCACGATAAACAATATCGTCAGTATAACAATGCTCCACTGAACAAGTGATTGACTTGTAAAAAGCATAAATGTGATTGTCAATTTAAATTCTCCTATAAATGACGAATCAGTAAAAATCATAAACAAGAAAAAAAACACATTGCCAAGAAATATCAGTTTTTTAACCCTTCCATTTTCTTTACTCTTCATATATTCCCTCTAGCACTAGATACTTACACGTCCTCTTTGATCAGTATTGGGTACAAGCACAAGAATTGGGGTCCCAGTAGTCACTCCTGCAGTTAATTATAAAATTATTTAGAGTGCACACAAATGTGTTGAGAAGTAATTTCCTAGCTGAAGAGGAAACTACAAAAGGAACCCTGAAAAAAGCACATTGAACAAAAATTCCAAAAAGATCTAACCTTCATGAACTCCAGAAAGTATTTGGCACGTGTCAGTTTCCTTCCTAGGAGTAGTAATCCGACTTTGACCTGGCCTCCTGACAACCCATAAAAAGTTCGCATCAAAACAAATCAGAAACCAGCAATAATAAAGGAAGCTTTCCGTGATTATCACAGGGAACACATTGTACTAATATCAACACAATAAAGAGTCTACATATCCATGGAAACTAACTGTGTCAGCATACAATGAGCCTGGATCAAAATACCTCAGAGACTTTAAGATGAAGATGAACATGAAACATACTAGTAAAATAACATTCAATTGAACATGAAAATATACTAATAAAATTAGATTCAATTGAACATGAAATGAGAAATATCAATCGTTACAAATTCAACAACGCAAGTTAGGAGAGTCTTCCAACTCCCCAAAAAACTTTAAAATGAGCATGACAAGGGCAAGCCCTGTATCAAGTACCTTCTGTCCAGGTCGCCCTGCAAATCAGCTTCAGAGAGGGGCATCCTAGGAGGACATCCATCGATTACACAACCAACACCACCACCATGTGATTCTCCAAAAGTTGTTACACGAAAGAAATTTCCATAAGTATTCCCAGCTGCTTGCACCTCTGAAATTTAACAGCAAAAAAATTCAAAATTGGAAGTCCTAGCTTACTACAATCCCTTACATTATATAAATTCCCATTTATTTTAAAACTTGCATTCGAAAGTACTAATTTTTTCTTCTAATCTCGTTATCAATTGGACTGAGTGATAACAGGGGTACTTAGTTTTTACAACTTTTGACCAAAAACAAAGTTTTTACAAATTGGGTAGTGCTTGCAGAAGCTACTTAAAGTCCCCGCAATCCCAATGACTTAATAATCTTTTAAAAGAACAAACCATGATTATTGCATAAAAGAAATTCACTGGAAAGTATAGGGATTTATAACCTTAAGCAGACAATTAATTCAAGAGCTACATTGCACATAACAAACTTCTCACACATTGGACAGAGGAAGCAAATAGTAGATTTGACCACTTAACACACAGCATATACAGCCTTCAATGATGTAGCTAAACAATTTTAAGCAATTGAACATAAGCAGACATATGGAACTTGTACAGTGATTTGTATTAGAAGCAAAAGCAAATGATTTGAACAATCAGAGAGAGAGACTTACGGAGCTTCCTGACAGTACGAGGGCGGATCAAAAACTGTACTGAGGGGGACGATAGATTTCGAAGATCCGAGGAGATAGAGCACAACCCAGAAAGCCCATCGGTCCTTGAAGCTCCGAGAAATGGTTTGGATGAGAGAGACGAAGCCATCTCAATTGAACTCACTGCGCCTCAGCCCACCAACCACAACACCCAGGAAGAAGAGAAAGAAGAAAACGATGGAAGCTTTGAAGAAACTAAAGAAAAAAAGTGGGTGCTTTGGATTTGGTTCGAGTAAATAATAAGGTGGTCGAATTTAGATGCAATGGAAGTTAGAACCCACCAACTCACTTCACCTACCCACCACGGCCACCACCACACCTTCGAGGTTTCAATTTATTTATTTTTCTTTGTTTGGTGGCTTGCTACACGTAGCAAATCGTACTAGTGGGTGCGGATAGGGAGACCGAGAGATACAAATGAGAAAGGAAGTTCAAAATACCAAAATATTTAAAATAAAAATAAAATAAGATCATGGGTACTATTTTCTTTGGGCACAATTACACCTCATTTTTCTTTTTTAGAACTTAAATTGAATTACTAATATTTTAAGATAAAAAATTTATATTTATAAAAAATTTAAATAAAAAAATCCCAATTGGCACATAATGGGCTAGAAGTAAATTAAATGGATTTTGCTACTATTTGTCGAGTGGGACGGTTTTTTATTGTTGATGCATTGTAGTCGGGAATTGTCCTGCTCAAATTTTTTAGAAATAAAATAAGATGATGTGTTCAAGTTATTTTAACAAACATATCAACGTGGCTTTGAAGCCAGAAGAACTATAGAGTCAAAATATTTAAAAGCATCTGTCAAGTAAATTTTGAAGCAATTGATTATTGTTGTATCAAGAAAATCATGAAAAACATGGAGTGGTGCTGCCTAATTGAAGAGTGGCACTTCTGTGTAGTGGCCATCAGGGTCTCGTCGTGTTTTGAGTGAAAATCATGAAAAACATGGGGTGTGCTGCCTTGCACGCGTATTCTTTATTAACTCAACTCAATTGTGTTTTCCTAATGCTGAACTCATTTTAATTCAAATTCAGCCTACAGACAGACACATCACATCCCTCTATGTATGTCATGAGTTTCATATATCATATACATTGCTCATGGTGTATTTTTTGGGACCGCCCACATGGACGATTGCTAAGCATTGATCGCTGAGAGCTCCCTATGCATTAATAGTTGAAAATCACCTACTCATATTTGAAGGACTGGTCTAAGCGTTCCTTGAATAACATATAAACTAAAACTAGTCACGTGATTATAAACTAAAACTAGGACTGGTCTGAGGCCTTTTGTCTTTTCTATTTGTTTATTTTTATATTTTTTGCTTGATTTTTATCTTCTTTTGTCTGGTACCTGGGCTGGTTGAAAGGGTAGGTGGCGGTCGGGGTGAAATGTGAGGTGTGGTTAGGGAAATCAGACATTCCTCTAGCATGTTTTGACTTTGCCATGGAGTTGCATAAAGATTAATATCAGTACCAGTCTGCCAGCAAGTCAAATTGGAATGAGATTATAATTAAGAAACATCCTTTTATTGTTTTCACAAATGAATCATGAATTCAATGGTAACTAAAACCAAAGCTAATATATATTGCCTGCTGTTTTCCACAGGGCCTGTATGAGTTTCTTCTTTGACACTACAAATAATCATCACAATGGGAAAAAAATGTGAAAATAGAGTGAAAAATATGTCAATCCCTTCCTACAGAAACTCCATGACAGCTTTTGCTGGAGCCTGTGTTTTCAAAACCATTTCGTCGTACTCATCTTCAGGATTTGATAAAGCAATAATGGCTCCTCCTGCTCCTATTGAAGCTTCACCCTCATGTATAACAACAGTTCTAATAACTATATTCAGATCAAACGTCTGGTTGTATGAGAAGAACCCAATGGAGCCGGAGTAAATTCCTCGTGAACTGTTTTCAATTGAATCAAGAAGTTCCATTGATCTCAGTTTCGGTGCACCTGTCATTGAACCACCTGGAAATGCTGCTCTCACACAGTCAACTGCAGTTACATCCAACCGCTTCTTCCCACGAATTGTGCTCACCATAGTATGGACAGTAGCATATGATTCCACATCCATAAGATGGGGCACATGAACAGAGCCAGGCTCACATACACGACCAAGGTCATTTCTTAGAAGATCAACAATCATCAGATTTTCAGCTTGATCCTTTTCACTGTAGAAAGATAGCAGAGTGCTCAGAGTCAGAATAAATTTAGCCAAACAAGAAAACTAAGATCCTGATAACAGCTCTTTCACTTGACCAAATTGTCATTTATAGTAACATGTTTGCATCAGAGGGAAAAATATGCTATAATGGTTTTAATCTCCTGTAAAAAAAGACAGGAGATTCGTTTTACCTGTATTGTAGCTGTAGTTTGTGTTGTTCATCTTCCTCCAGTGTTGCACCGCGTGCTACAGTACCCTTAATGGGCTTTGCTTCCAGTATACCATTTCTATCCAACCGTAGAAACCGCTCTGGTGAAGAACAGCAGATGCATAGGTTTTCCTTTGAAAAATTAAGCCACGCAGCATATGGTGCTGGGTTTTTCTCTCTAAGGTGAAGGTAAAGTCCCAATGAGTCCATTTCCCCGATTTTTTTTTCTCATCTGAGTTGTGAGACATAATTCATAGCTTTCACCATCTTTAATGTATTCCATACACTTGTCAACATCTTTTATATACTCCTCCCTTGATTTATCAGCAAGGAAACTTGCTTGACATTGCGAAGATGTTAAAGCCTGTAAATTTGGCTCCTCTCCCTCCTTAGTAGCAGAAGTTTTTAAGCTGAGAAGCTTCTGTTCTGTATCATCCAAATATGGTGTCTTACTTGTGCATCCTTCGTCTATAGACAGTACATAAACATCGTTGGAGGAGTGATCAATAACTACAAGATTATCAGCAAAGAAAAAGCAAGCATCTGGAGTCCCGGATTTGTGGCGATTAGATAATGCTCCACATTCAACTTTAAGGCTATATCTGCATTACATGAAATCAGTGAACGCTCAGCTAACTTAAGACACATATAAGAAGAAGAACTATTTTTGGCTAGTGACCAAACATTCAATCCAAGCATATAAATATGAAAAAGCAGAAACCGAAGGGAGAGTGATGATGACTTCTTATGACGGAACAGCAATCAGGAATCAGGATAGCTAAAAAGTAAAGAGATGTCTACTATTCAATTGATTATCTTCGGAGTCAATCAATCCATATTGGGATGACAGTCCTTCATTATCTTCAGGGTCAAGTATCCCATATTGGGAGATGACAGTCCTTTACTACTGAAGCATCAGCTCCAACTTTTCTTTTTTAATTTTTGACAGAGTACAAAACTTCTTTAGGGAATGATCCACGCTCTATGCCTTAATGAAACGTTGGTAGAGTTTGACGGCACCAATCATGCTTTTACAAGAGACCAACTTTCTGAGAAACTGATTTTCCACAAGCTAAATTAACAAAACTGAATCCATACACTGAGGAGTAGTGGATAAGAAGGAAAAGATTGTCCAAGAATGTTTCATTCATATAAACTTAACTGCATACCCCATGTAGCCAATATATCCACCATGAAAGTCAAATGGAAGTCCTTCATAATCCTTTTCATCATAACAAAACGACCGGAGCTCCTGAAACACAGATCAAGCAGCAAATATCACTTCAAGCTGGGAGACTGAACATAGTAATATAATCACAAACATAATTATTTCCAAACGAACAGAAGAAATTTTATTCTGACATAAGTTTATGGCCATTGAGATGATCTCTATATTAAGTATAACACACGTAAAAACATAGAAGCCCAATATATCAAGAACAGAAATAAAAGGAGATAAGGGCATTTGAGAAGCTATCGTCGCACACACAAGAAGATTACAACACAACCTGTAATTTCACTAATACCTTTTTCAGAAAGTCAAGAAAACCTTCTTCCAAAATGGTGCTTTTGGTAGAGCCTTGAGCATCCTCAACAGATAGAAAACCTCTGCCTTTCAAAGTCATATCACTGAAAAACGCAGTATATATAACTTAGAAATACTCACAAAAGCTTTATTCTAAAAAAAATTAAGATTAGTTTTATAAGAAAACATTATGAATGACAAGGTAGTTATGTGATGATACTTATATGTTCAAACTTGAAGCCTTGGTTAAACAAATATTCATACAAAACTACAAATTTGATGCTAAAATTTTCCCAAATCACTGTTCAGTCAAACCTTCTATCAGACAATTTAAAGGTCAATTGCTTCCAAAGAGTTCCACCTTTTCCTCCCATAAATGAAAAGCGTGCTCTTCTCTGAACATTCAAGAAAACAAAGAAAATAAGCACCATAAAAGTAAAGACTATGATAATGCCAAATGTTTCAACTAAAACCTTCACCAAGAACTATGAGAGAAGGAAAACTCATGCTAAGAGTTGTAACTAGCAATCAGAAGCAAGTGAAACTTACCAAACAACTTATAAAACGAGATGGGGAAAAATTATCAATCTTAAGATGGGCAATGCATGGCAATTAAAATGTAAAATCCAACGCCACACAAGAAAGTAGAAGAAGTAATATTGAGTTGTTTAATTGGAAAGAGAAATCACTGAACAATCAACAAACCTTTTCTATTGATGAACTGTCCAACCAAAAGGTGTTTTCAGCTTTATGATGTCCATAAAGTTCACAAAATATATTTTTTGCTCCACCAACCTGACCAGCCAAGTTCTTAAATCTCTTCCATTTGAGCTTCAGATATTTTACACCATTGCTTGGATGCAAAAGGTTAACCATATCGACCATACCAGAACAACTTCTGTTACCTTCACTGTTCTCTAATAAGTTACTTCTTGAAGCCTTCCTATATAGTTGACCATTTGCATTATTTACCAATTGCCTATGTCTAGGAACTTCTGTGAACAGTCGACTAACATGGGGAATCTGCACGCATGCTAAAAGAGGTTTATTGGTCAGTTGAAATTAGAGGCAGTTTATTCTGAGAAAATGATAATAGTTGTAAAATATATAGAACTACAAGGAAGAAGAATGATGAACAGGTAATTCTAGAAAAGAGCCCCAGTTTACCTGTATAATCAAAATTCCGTTCTTGGAGGAATGATGCCCTCGAACTCAGCCAGTACTCCTCTGTGATCTCTCTGAAATTCTTGAATATCTGCCTTCCATGACAGGTTGCAATACTCTCTGGATGGAACTGTAAGGCTCAACACATAAAGTCAAGAGGGTATTGCACTGAAAACCAGAGCCCAACAATCACAAATGCAATGAACATGCAACACACCTGCAAACCATAATGAGGCCTGGTAGAATGCATAATGCCCATGAGAACCTTTTCGCTCTGCAGTTTGCCAGAATGGCTGAACGGCGAATAACTTCCATTTTTCACTTTTCTTGAAAAAGATCCAGCAGCAAACTCTGAGGGAACATCACACTTGTGGGTTTCAATAAAAGAAAGTGCATCCACAGAGGAAGTCCATGCTATAGGAATGAGTTCATCTGGGAGTGATTCAACATCTACAACAAGTGAATGGTACCGCACCACCTGCAATTAGGTATAGTCCATAGTTAAGAATAACTATCAGAATCACCCTAAAGGTCCATGGTAGGTGCAGCATGCACTTGCTGCAAAACCAAATTAAAACATTAAAGTTCCAAGAAATCATCTTTGACCTTCTGTAATATTAAATTTTTTCTTTTTCTTTTTTGTAGCAAGTGTAGATATACTATTTGAAATTTCAAGAATGACCAACTTCGGTTCTACATAAAAAGATCAGATCTTGCAAGTATGTGACTTAGATAATATTAATCATTATTCAAGTAAATGATTGCAATCTCAAGTTCGCATGAAAATTATAATATTAATAAAGTTTAAAAATTATTGCCCATTTACAAGTTAATTACCATCACATTTTCGTCCCACAAGTAAAGTTTTTACTGTCATAATATACAGAATAGAATCTTCTACATGAAAAGTCAGAATCTCAATCGCCTATTGTTTAGAAGCAAACTGAAAGTGAACTAGACACTGGCAATGTTCTTTTATTTTTATTTTTTCTAGGATGTGAGTAACTTTAGCAAGATATGAAAATTCCGAGAAACTGATCAGTGTCATAGAGATTCCTTGATATATTTGACATCTTCCAAGGATAACCCTTCCATGGTATGGTAAAACGAATTACAAAGGTTGCAATAAACCAAAGAGATTTCAGTATAAGACAACTAAGTTTCTTATTATTCTTTTGTTACAAGCATTAATTTCAACTTCAAACTTTAAGAGAAGACTGACCTTGAATCCTGAGTTGTGGCCAGAAGGGATGTCATTGAAAAGTCTGCACCCATTGTGCTCAATTTCGCTGTATTGAGGAAAAAAGGAGAGTATAAAGTTAATAGAAGGAGAACTTATGGGGAAACCAAACAATCACAATAGCAAAGCTTCAATCCAAAATCCTTTTAATTGTAAAGCATATCTCACATTAATAATTATAAAATTAGTAGAGAAAATAAACACCCATGAAAACCAAATCTTGTTATAATATACAACTATACCTCAACCGTCCATGGACTGGTTCAGATGCGTGGACAACTTTAGCACCGTGCACATAAGCTAAAGCCTGTTTCATCAAAGTCATCCAGGAGAAGGGTGAAAACCAAGTCACATTAAGAGAACTATCATTCTTGATGAGAGAGGCTATGCATCCTAATATCACCTTCTTATTAAGACCAAGATTATATGCTGTTTATGTGAAATACACTACATAATGCAAAGATTCAGATATGCAGATATAAATCTATAAATACAACTGTCTACATGCTGCACCAGAACAAGCAAAAAAAAACACTTGTATTTATTTATATTAAGCATATTGTGCGTGTGTGTATTCACGTATGTAGTATGTATATTCCTCTTTTTGGCATGGAACTTTGTATATAAGATTCTTAGAACAATGCGTCAAAACCACTGCCTGTATATACCATTTTAAGGGTAGTCTGTAATTCTCCCTAAAAATATCATTATGAATGTAACTAGGGAATTTTAACTTAAGCATCTAGGCTACATCAGAAGAGAAAAAAAGTGTAAAGCAAAATACCTGATGTCCAAGACAAACACCCAAAATAGGGATATCCCAGCAGTCAAGCAGCACCTGAAGACATATTCCTGACAGATTCAAATAGTTTCCAAATGAAATTATCAAAATAAACTTTTAACACCTAAAGCAGAGGGCAAAAAAGGGCTGCAAACACTAGTCTAGAGAGCTGTTTTTTTTTCCAGGTAAACTTCATTAAAAAACGGCAACAGAATGCAATGGAAGTCATCTATAAGTATACCAGAGTAAATCACTCAAGAGGAGAACAATAGTGTGTGTGCTTGTACATAATCCAAAAGGTTGAAAACTCTTGAGAGTGGCCTATCTTATTAGCTCTGCAGAATAAAGGCTATCTAAATAAGACTTCATATATCTATTTTTGGCCGAGATGCAATTAGAAGTAACAAGTAATGCAAAAAGAAGATGGTGGCTTAAATATCTTAACTCTACTTCTAGTCAATACTTCTTTCTGCTGTACATCGTGACGATAAGGATGGAACTAGAATAGAAAAGATAAATTCATTTTTCTCCCTCTCACCTATGTCTGCTGGGCATGTTGGGGAACCAGGTCCAGGTGATATAACAACATTATCAAATGCATTTTCTTCATACAAGTAATAGCAGATGTCTTTCCACGTCAATTCATCATTTCGCACCACCACAGGAGGCACTGGCACAATCAGAAACTAAAATGTCAGAATCAAGTCAAAATTAAATTTTCAATAAAACACATCTGTATAAACCGTCAGTCAACTCTATTGCTCTCTTATGGCCCAGCCCTATTTATCTATCAATATGGTTTCATGAAGAAATATACCACTTTATCTAGCCAAGGCAGAAATTTTCCCATATAAGAAGCAATGTCCAGTTGTCTTTATGGCTATATTGGTAGCATGAATCACATGCTTTAATACTTTTAAGTGTACTTCACCAGGGGATAATCGGCCAACAATTCAGTACGCAGACATTACATTTTGTTATTCTTAGCAGGTTATAGATGAAGAAAACATTATAGCCCTGGGAAATAATGAGTGGCATACATGGAGGAGATAGAGGGGGAGGAAGAGAAAAGCATACACCCATTAATGACAGACAGCTCCTGGTATATGTTGTATGTGTAGCTGTCATAGTTGTCAATCAACAATGTCCTCACAAATTCCAGCTTCTGACCAGGTTCCTGCAGGTGTTTCTTTCCCACATAGGATCCTTTTAAAGGCTGAGGCATCAAATTGCTAGACATCACCAGCTTTCTAGCATCATGATTAGATGCTCGATTTTTGTCCTTGTTATTGAAATTATCAACTTTCACAAAAAGTTCAGACTCTAGCATATTCTTGTTTGTGCATGGTAACCCCTCAACAAAAGGATATCTGAGCTCAGAAGAAGACGAACACAAAGTGAAATTCATTTTTGTTACTTATGATAGAGATTGTCAAAAGTTGTACACAAGCGCCCAAAACAGAGCTTCTGCAGCACAGAAATGTACACAGTTAGATGTGCCACCTACAGTTCAATATGCCATGCAAAGCAATAAGGTATTTAAGTCTCTTTCTATACACCTATATGAATTTACTAATGCGGTCATTCCAGCATGACCACATAACTCACCACCCTTAAGTATGCAATAGCATTACCACTTCAGTCAATGTGTGTTCTGTGTAATATATATTAACTATGGTTAGATTTTTGCAACAAAGACATCCACATGTGTTTACTATAATCAGTATTGGGTTAGTTTTAGACTTTGCACTGCAATAGAACAATACAAAACAGGAACTTTTGAGCAGGGACAGACATAACGTGGGCTAAATTTACCTTACATACAAACTTCTGAGGTGCAGGGCCTACAGAAGATACATGCTGATACTAACTATGCTTTAAATGAGGAAATGGGTTCACTCAGTTCCTCAACCAAGTATCAATATATTCACTTCGGCACTTCCATCACTATGCTACAGAATTAGCTATTAGACTGAAACAGAAGATAAACTACATACAGCTACCGGCTGAAATTACTGGAAACAAACAAAATGTCAAATCTTAATCCATAATCATATAAAATATTTCAAAGTCCCACACTGAAAAGCATAAAACTTGCTGACAGAACAAAAAGAAAAAAAAGGATAAGAAAAGTGAGAAGCGAACCTCAGAATCAGAGGAAGCAGCTGAGACGTGTGAAGCTTGTTGGGTTTTTTATAGCTTTATAAATAGAAGAGATGAGAGAGAGAGAGAGGCATACGTTGTGGTGGGTTGGTATTGAATGGGCCATGGTTGGTGGTGGTGGAGGTTTGAGGAGAGGCGAAGACTGCCCATGGAAACTTGGAAATGGAAAGAGGGATGCGGGACCCACCATAACCCGATACGGACAGAAGCAGTCGAGCCCAGAATCAAGATTCATACTTTAGAGGAATCCTGGGCCGCATATCGCGGGTTGCTTGGTCCTTCTTCCTTTCGAGTTCAAGACTTCAAAGGGTGCAGAGCAAACCGGGAACGGATCCGCTGTCCCCAAATTGTGTGTCCCCTCATATCCCCCAATAATTTGTTGACACATGTCATCTCACTTAACAGAGTTTCAACTTTTTTTATTTGGCAATTTTCTTTAGAAAAAAAAAACAAACAAACCAAAACGCTCGGCACAAACTTAACAGGCTCATCTTCATCGACACCGAAAATTGATATGTTCGAGTATGGTATCGTACAGCGCTGTGCCCATATGATTGCTTCCCTTCTGATTCGTGCAATTCTGCATTGCAAGAGAATGGAAACAGAGTCGTTGAAATAGGTGAGGCAATCTTTGAGTGCAAGGTCCCCTTTGCATAGGGCATTTGCGTACACTTTGTTGTGGTCTTGTCCCAGAGAAAACCCATAGTCGATTTGGGTGTTGGAAGGGAAAGAGGAGAGGAGGCCCCAAATTGGAGGGTGAAGAAGACTCGCGTGTATTAAGTTAAATGAAATATGTCAACAAACTGTTGGGGAGACATGGAGGGACACACAATTTGAGGACAGCAGATTCGTTCCCAGTAAATACTATTTTGTTTGATTTATCATAATTTTTGTACTGTTCCCTTTTATTTTAATTTTAATTTTATATTTTAGGGATGATTAGGATTGGACTGTACCTTATTAGTATTTTTGTGCAAAAATTAATATGTGAGATTCTCTTTCTTCATAAAAAAAAAAAAATTATGTGAGATTCTTTTAGTTTAGATTTCGACATGACATCGACTGTCCCCTTATTATAATGTTCACATTTAAAAGCTCAATGTATTTTTTTAAGTTGTTAAAAGCATTTATTTATTATCAACGAGGGTTGATTGAGTTGGTAAATATCGTTTTCTTTACTATCAAGGCCTAAGTTCGAGTTTCGCTGTCAATAATTCCTCTTGATGGGTAATCTGTAAAAACCTAAAAATGGGCTAAGAGCTCCTCTATAAATCTTCCAAGAGGCATTAGTATGCCATGATTCTGGAATAGAGTAGCCTCCCCGCTCTCTAAACTTTTTTTCACAAAAAAAAACATTTACTCATGCACTTGAGATCATAGGTTCAATCCCCCAATATCACTTGTATTTAAAAAAAACAAAACAAAACAAAACAAAAACAAAAAAACAAAAAATTGTTGAAAAATATTCTAATTTTAAATCATTCATCTTCTTTGATTAAAAAATGAACAAATATTACAGATGTGAGTTATGCCAGTTAACAAAGAGAAGCTTTGTTTTATGAAAGTTTCACTAAAACACCCAAAATGGGGGTTGAAATTATAAAAAAACCCAAACACTATTTAAACATATAAACACACCCAAAACCCATTATTACACACACTCAAAACCCATTTATAAACACATCCAAAAAGTTGACTTTGGGGTTGATTTTGGGTGTGTTTCTATGTTTAAATAGTGTTTGGGTTTTTTTATAAATACATGTCTAGGATTGGGTTTATTTATAAATTTGTATTGTTTTATTGGTTTTGAATAAGTTTGTCACTCAAATGTATGAGCCACATAATTAGTTTCACTAAAATCATGGAGAATTCAGCAAGAGAAGAATGCCTTAACCCAATCTTTCTAACTCAACAATGATACTAATTAGTCGGTATCCCAACAATTAGGTGATATATCGAACATATAAAATCTAGTTTTGTATGGTCTGTTTCTTTTAAAAGAAGTTAGATTTCACAAGAAATTAATCATAATCTGCCTATATGTATCTCGCCATATTTCCAATGTAGTTTTCCAAAGGGAAAGGGGGCTTGTTAAAAACAAAGGTCCAAATGCCTGAAGCAATCCCATAGTTAGAAATACTAAAGCTCGTATCAAGCTTGCTGGCCCTTTCTGAAACCCTATGCAAAGCTTGGAAACTAGAATTTATTTATTTATTTTTGTCGGCAGCTTGGAAACTACATTGGAATATTGTGAATATTAATATAAATATTTTGAATTTATCCATCTTATTATAACACTATAAACTAAAACTTGGTTTTGTTATAATCATCATTGCTGACGGAAATTCTATCCAAAATTTTACCATATTATTATAAATGACGTACAAAAAAGGGCATTAAGGAGATGGCGGCCACAAACTTCACAAGGTAAAGATTGAGACTTATCTGATTATATGATCTCCTTTTCAAGGTTAATTCAACCAATAATTACATTATTTTGTAAGTTCAAGAATGGACAGCTCCGCAACAGGGAAGAAATTTGTGGAGTTTGACCAATAACTTGATTCGTAATGGGTGACTTATTTTCATTAAGTGAATAAATTATTATATGATACTTAAATACGATCATGTGTTTTAATATAGATAAACGACATAATTTTTTACTTTTATAATGAATTATATATATCATATAATTATATTTCAGTACCACACTATAATTACTCATAAAATAAAAGGCTTCATATATATATATACAATTCCGATCTCTTGGACTACAGGGGTCCAACTCACCGTTGGATGTAAGTCAACGGTTCACTCACTCTTGCACTTTTTTTAAGAAACTTTTTTGAACCATTAGATTAATATCCAGCGGTAGATGATCATAAATCTCTCTTGGACCCCTATGATCCAAGTGATGGGGGATATATATATATATATATATATAAGAGCATCAGCTAAGGCGGCTCTCATGCATGACAGGTTCCACGAAATGATGTTTTATGGAAAATTTGACCTGGACTATACAAATTTAATTTCTTAGTTGCATGCGCAGAAAAGTGGTACAAAGTTTTATTAGATCAATAGAATATTCGATTGAGATATAATCAAGCTAGTTCTATATACATTTCAGTTGCAATCTGATTAAGTCTTGGTTAATTTGTCTGAAATCGAAGTTGGGGGACTCGCTTGGACCTTCACCATGCATGCATATATATATATATATATATATGAAAATTCTCTATGGGAACTTTCGGATATTATTATTGTGCAGTCACTGTATATTTTGAGTTAAATATTTTTATATTGTTTGATTAATGGTGGTGGAGCATGTTGATGAGCAATAAACTAAACCCACGCCGGTCTATTTTACTCATTTGGATTTGGGTGAGTTAGTTTCTGAGTCTTAATCATCTAGTATTTCAAATGTTTTAACTTGTAGTTTGAAGTTCCATTCATTCATTTACCAATGAACATCAAGAACAACTTATGTATGTAATATTGCTTTGTTTTGCTAGCCAATTAACAATGAGAAGGATTGTTCGATCTCTTCAATCTTATTAATCCAAACCTTTTCTCTATAAAAATGTATGCAACTTTTATATATAAATGTTCGGTTATGGTTGAGAGTGGGTGTTTACCCACATTTTATCATAGAATTTGATTTCATTAAAGATTTTATGTTAAGAAAATGGGCTTGTAGCTGAAATGGTTAACAGTATTTACCCATGTACCCTAGGTCATAGGTTCAATTCTCCTCTTCCTCAATATCACTTGTATAAAAATTTACATATATATATATATATATGTTAAGAGTTGGTTATTAAATCGCAGCCATCGGATTGTATGTATGTTATATTAAAAAATTATTTAATCCATCAACATATCTAATAGATGGTTAATATTAGAACTCCTTAACTAATTGTTAACAAAAATCCTTATTAGAGAAACTTGTTAAGACCGTTGATTAGATTAACCATGTGATTTAAATAAAATAATAATAATAATAGACCATGTGATCATTTAACTTTAACGGGGTGACCATGGCTCATTTGGCTTGTCTTAATTTTTTTATTTAATAAGAATAATGCTTTCCCTTCTAGATGGAGAAATCACTTAACCCTATTCACACACTCACTCGACTGCATGTAGTCACACTCACACACACGCATACACAAAGAATTAGAGTCATAATCCCCATTTAATTTGTCTTATTTTTGAAGTCAAAGAGGCTAAAATCTGTCCTTTCATAAGGTTTTGGTTAAACAATTCATAGACTTTAATTGTAGGCATTATTTATTCCAACGCTCCCTCCGCCTGCAGCCGCCCGCAATCTCCATGGAATTAAAACTTAAATTATGTAAACAATAATATCATGGAAAGAGATCTAAGTGCTCCAAATTTTAGGACATTATAACTTATCATTCTTTTCTTTTTTTTCAATGTTTATTTGGTGACACCATCGATCCATTCCAAGAAGAAAGAACAATCTGTAGCAGTCAATGACTACTATTATATTTATGTAAACACAATCTTACTTCTCTCCCTCTCATCTGGATTCATAAGACAATTATATATAAGTGCAACTTTTCCTTCGAATCGAATACATGGAACTTCAGAAGTGATTTTGTCTGCAAATTTCCTAAAATCAAACCCAGTTGTTAAGGACACAGCATACATTTTCAGCTCAATTTTCCTGCAACCATAAATCATGAAGTTCTCTTTTCCCTGCACAAAATGTTTCTCTTCACCTGGAATCGTCGATGATAGCACACACGGTAAGCATAATCGTCGATGTTTTCTGTAACCTTCATCAGCTAATCATAATCCAATTCCACTTTCTTATTTCTGTTTTCATTTTTTGGTTTCTTATCAACTATCAAATATATTTTTTTTTTTATATTTTACATATATAATTAATTAGTACCTGTAATGTACATGTATTGATATGGAAGTCTTGGCTATCTTCTCATTAAATTAGGTTTACAATTTCTTCAAAATGTCCACGCCTTCACGTACAAAGAATTGAAAGTCGCCACCAATGATTTCCATCCATCCAATAAAATTGGTGAAGGTGGATTTGGATCTGTTTATAAGGGAAGACTTAACGACGGAGTAGATGTGGCTGTGAAAGTGCTTTCAGCTGAATCAAAGCATGGAGACAGGGAGTTCATGTCTGAGCTAGCATCACTCTCCAACGTTTGCCATCAAAATCTGGTCAAGATGCGGGGTGGCTGCATTGAAG